ATGCGTGTGTTTGTCCAAGGACAACCACACCTTTTGCTAAAAAAAAAAAAACTGATCAACAAATCCGAGTTGATACTTCTTAAATTATACACTTATTCTTCTCGATCGTGTAAAATAATAATAATAATAATAATAATAATAATAATAATAATAATATTAATAATAATAATAATAATAATAATAATAATAAAATGGCGCTCGGTGTGTGCGTGTGTGCATTTTGCAAAGTTTTTTTAGCCTAAAAAAAAAATGAGTTTTTTTTTTAAATTTCGTATAATTTAAAATAATAATTATTTGAAATGATTTTTATCATTATAATTAAATTATTATTCAGGTTGTTGGTGTTGTTGTTGTTGTTGTTGGGTCGGTACAAACAAACAAATAAAGTTTGTTTCCATGCGAGAAACAAAAACAAAAACAAAAGAAAAAAATTTTTTTTTTTTTTCGCGAAATAATTTTTTTTTTTTTTCATTGGCAACGAATCAATTTTAGTTGGGGGAGGGGGAGGGGAACTGTGAGGAGACGTTTTAAAATTATTAATTTTTAAAAGGGGAGACGGGGCGGAGGGGTGCGGGAAGGTTAAAATAAAATTATCGTTTATAAAAATTAAAAAATTTGAACCGTGAATAAAATCGTTTTTAAAACACGGTTGTGCCAACGTTCGAAAAAAAAAGTATTTATTCGTTTGTTTGTTTGTTTAAAAAACATAATAATAATAGTAATAATAATAATAATAATAATAATAATAATAATAATAATAATAATAATAATAATAATTTTAAGCATATTATGTAATTCTCGACGCGAAAAAAAAAAAAAAAAATTCCATCATCTTACTATAAATATTTTTTAAATGATTTTAAATCCTGTTTTAATACAACAACAACAACAACTTTAAAAAAAAAAAAAAAAAAAAAAATCGAACGTAACAAATTATTTGTTCGAAGTATATAAATTTAAATTATATAATAAATAAATAATAAATAAATAAATAAAAGTTTTTCGAAATTTTTTTTTTTTTAATAGGGTAAATCTTTTAAATTATGCTAAATATTTTTTTTTTTCTTAAGGTAAATTATACAACTTTGGCAGATTCAAGTTTTTTTATTGACGAAAAAAAAAAAAAAAAAACGAGTAAAGTCGGGAATTTATTCACGTTTTAACCTAATTCTTTTAGTTAAAAAAAACTCGAATTTATTTATAATGGACAAGAATCATTTTCGTTTTCATTTAATTTTTAATTTTTTTTTCCTCTCCCCTCCCCCACGCAGGAAAGAAGAAAATTCGAATGGTCGTGAAAAGTTGAAAGAAGAAAAGAAGAAATCAAATCGTCCGTTATGCGTCTTTTTCGTAGCCGGCGCCACAGCGATCCGCCCCCCTACACTTCCTCCTCCTCCTCATCATCAAATCCGTCGGGAGATGTTGAATTTCAAACGGTCAAAGCCGTACCTGCTCTTGTTTTAGATGAAACATCAAAGAAAAAAAGTAAGTTGATTAATTTTCAGATAAACATCATTTTCAGGTATCCGTTCGAGAAAATTAATTAAGAGTAAGTACCGGAAACGAAAAATTGCCACCATTTCCGTTTTTTTTCCGTAGTTTTTTCGCTTCCATGTTGAATAAAAATTGTTTGGGAATGTAAATATCATTTGTTTTTGTGTTTTCACAGCGAAAGGGTTTCGATCGATCGATCGATCGATAAATCGATTTATCGATTCATTGATTGATCGATAGTCTTTTTTTTCGTTTCGTTTCGTTTTTTTCGTTTCTTTTTTTTTTTTTCTTTCAACTTAAAAAAATTTTCTTTTTTTTTAATTTATTATTTATTTCCGTTTCCGTTCTAATTTTTTTCTCCCCCACCCTTCCCCTCCCCCTACCCCTACCCTCATGAATTAATAATGATCACAATAATAATTTTTTTTTTTAAACTTTTTTAATTTCGCGAAAATTTAAAATTAAAAAAAAAAAAAAAAGGAAAAAGAAAAAAGGAAAAAAGAAAATTTTTTTTTTATCGGAGTCATAACGAAATTAATATTTTTTTCCCTTTTCTCTCTCTCTCTTTAAAACTGGAAAAACTGGGAAAAAAGTTTTTCCATTTCATTTATTTATTTATTTTTTCGTGTTTTTCATCGACTTTATTCTCTCTTTTATTCTTTTAATTTTTTTTTTCTACTTTTCTACTTAATTTCAATTAAGTTTCCGGTTTTTCTTTTCTTTTCTTTTGTCAAGGAAAAACTTACCGGTGTTAATGGTTATCCTTCCATTTCGAATTATAGTTACTCACAAGTTATTCGAAATCGAAACTTTTAGAAATTTCTCTTGAGAGTTTATTTATTTATAGAAAATTTTCTATAAAGAAATTCTCTTACGACGACGACGACAACGACGATTCTTTTACAATAAATGATTTTTATTATTAATGATGATAATAATAATAATGATGATGGTAAGGATTTCGTTTTAATTACGAAAACAAAAATTTGTTTATTATTACATAACGTTACGAACAAAAAAAAAAGGAAAGAAAGAAAATTAACTTTTATTTCACGGGTTTTTAAATTATTCCGCTGCAGGTTCATCATTCAAGGTTTTTCAGGTTATTAATGGCCTTGACGTTATTTAAAAACCTCCATTAAAAGAAAAAAAACCAATTAAAACAATGATTGTGTTTAAGCATTAACTATGTCGACTCGTTCTTTTTTTTTGAATGGAAAAGAAGAAAAAAAAACGAAGCAGAAGACAAAACGTGTAATACGTAATAATAATTTTAAAAAAATGGACGTCAAAAAAAAATTTTTTTTAATGGATCGCGTGTTTTTTTTTTTTTTTTTGTGACCCATTTTATTGTTATTATTATTATCACCACCACCGGGGGGAAAAACAGTGTAATTTACTAGTAGTAATAATAATAATAATAATGATGCTAGACGTAAATGATTTCGTCTGCTTTGAATTCGTTTTTCCATCGTCGCGATTTTTCTCTGGCGTGTACATCACGTGGATTTTCGCGTCCCGGCGTCCATTTTTTTTTTTTTTTTTAAGTCGCGCAAATGTCATCATCATAACTTTGGGGTCGACCGTTGACAAGACAAACAAACAAACAAAACAAAAAAAAAAAAAAAAAAATTTAAAACGAGTTTCGCGTCGTCCGATCGAATGTCGTTAAACGCATCCGTGAAGAATTTAAAGTGCGCCGTGCAAAAAAAAAAAAAAAAAAAAAAAAAAATAACGACGACGTTGTGGACGCCACAACAACAACAATAATAATAATAATAACAATTTAAAAAACGAGGATTTTTTATTTTTATTTTTTTTTTCTACAGCCACGGCAGAAATTTTATTTTTTTATTTTTAGTTTAACAACGAGCGCGTAAGCGTAAAAAAATGAAAAAATTTTTATTAATTTTTTTTTTTTTTATATTTCGAATCGAAAAAATTTATTTTATTCGAAAATAACAACAATCGAATTATTTTTGTGTCTGCGTTTGTGTGCAAACAAACAAACAAACGACAAACGTAGACAAAAAAAAAATTTTAAACGACCGTAATTATTTTTTCTACGTAAAATTACGCGGCGTAAAAAAAAAAATTTTTTTTTTTTTTTTTTCGAGTTTGTTCTGTTAGTTAAGATAGATAACACGGTCGGGTTGACATTTACTCGTGTTTGACCGCGTGTTTTTGTTTTCTCTCTTCCTTCAGGTAGTAGGTAGGAGGATAGGTACAGTAGATCCAGGTAGTATGGTCGACTATTTAATTTCAACAACGATGATGATAACAATATTAATTAAAAAAATTATTATTATTTTCGTAACGATGCAAAAGAATGTCGTTGTCGTCGTCGTCGTCGTCGTCGTAACCCGTAGGAGAAAATGCATTTGGTTGCATGTAACCCATTAACCAAAATGCCACTCCTCGATTTGACATTTAATATCGTGAAATGCCTTCATACCTTTCTTTTAATAATAATAATGATTATGGTAATGATAATAATAATAACTTGACGTGTTTTTTCTTTTCGGTTTTTTCATTTTTTTTTGGTTTCGAACGCAAAGTTTCAAAGTTGATGTTTGATGATCTCAATCGTCAACTTTCTTTCAAACCGACTAATATTTTAATTAATTTCCTTTTATATTTACCTATTATTATTATTATTATCATTATTATCATTATTTACTTTTTTGTCTAAATTTTAGTATTTTTTTTCTTTTAATTAACCTTGAATTAAATCAGATTTTTACTCTTTTTTTTACTCTTTTTTTTTTTTTGTACGAATAAAATGCACTCATTTTACCGGGGGGAGGGGAGGGGAAGGAGTAAGGAAAGGAGAAAACAAACGAGAAATGATATTAATAAAAAAAAAAATTAATATAATAAAATTCGTTGGAGAAATTTAATAAAAAAAAAATTATTTTCTCATCGTTTCAATCTTAAACAAGATGATGTTCGATGATTTTCTGCTAATGATTTCATTTCCTGTCATTAAACTCAAAAAAAAAAAATGGATTTTGTTTTTCTCACAGAGTAAAACCAAAAAAAAAAAAATTATCGATTTAATATATTGAAAAGAAAAAAATAATTTAATAATAAAATTAAATTTTGTCCAGTACCGTGACTAGAATTGTAAAAAAAAAATCGTTGTTGTTTTGTTTTGTTTTGAATTTTCGTCTCAGGTGTGACGACTTGACCCTGAATTTTTCCAAAATTATTATTATTTTTTACTTGTATTTTTTTATTATGCATTCATTCGCGCCTTTAATTGCTTTTAAAAGTTTTAAAACGGAAAATGGAGGGGCGGGGGGAAGAAGAACAGTTTTTGGATGCTTTCCTTCCTTTTTTTTTTTATTCAACAAACAATTCGACGAAATTCTGGCCAAAAATTTAAAATTTTATTTGTTTTTTTGCGTGCGCGCGTTGTTAAACGCTAACAAAGTTTTGACGTCTCTAAAATTTTGAATTTCGATTCGGAAAAGCGTATCGGAAATGAATAATGAAAATAAAAAATGATTACAATGAAAATAGGTTATTAATTAAATGTTAAAGAAGCGGAAACGAAAAAAAAAAAAAAAAAAAAAAAAAAAACAATTGACATCGTCCTTCAAATGCTGCGTCCACACATCAATAAAAGGCAAAAAAAAAAACAAAAAACAAAAAAAGGCGTTTGAAAAGTCTTCCGTGTTGGCCTCCAGCACGGTGATCCACTTTCGTGTTGATACAGAAATGGCACTGTGCTAGAGATCAACGTGAAAGATCACCGTCATCGCCGATGTTGATTTTCTTTTTTTTTTTTTTTTCTCTCTCTCGATACCTAAACTCTACCTCAAACTCGATGTCACGCAGCAAAAAACAAAAAAAAAAATTTATTTCTATTATTATTTTTATTATTTTATATCTATATTTAATTAAGGTACTGTATTTATTATTATTATTATTTTTAATCCGCCATTTTGTACGTAAAAATTTTCCGGAGAAAAAAAAAATGATCAAAAACATTATTATATCAGTTTTTCTTATGAAGAATAATAACGGCTTTTGTTTTTGTTTTGTTTTTTTTTTTGTTTTTAGTTTTTTCCACGTGGGGAAGAAGAGTCGGAAAAAGATTAGAACAACTTAGAAATGGCGAACAAAAATTGTTTGCCGACGAATCGTCGGAAGGAAGTTTAAGAAAAAAACCAAATTGGAGACTTAGAAGGTCTTCGGATGTGGCACTCTCGACGACGACAACGACGACGGAAGAATTCGAAAATCTTTCGCTGAATTCTCCGTCGTCGTTGAAAAATTTTTTCCACAGGATGGGTTCGACGGGAATGTTGAACAAAGGAGGAATGAATAAAGGGCAACCGGTCCGGGAAACACCGGAAGAAAATAATTTATTTCGAAGTTGTTCCACCTCTCATCTGTCCGCGTCTTATTTTCGCGGAGACGATCCCGCAGATTGTTTGGATCCTTCAAACGCGGACGTGAAAAAATCAAATAATAACGCGGACAGGATGCCGCCGCATTTATCCGTGAAAACTCTGAGCGTGGATAATCTGACGGAAATAGCAAAATCATCGTCGAATCGTCGATCGAATTTTCCATATGCTTTCCTAAGATCGAAATTATCCGTTTTGCCGGAAGAAAACGGGGGGAGTGTCGTTAATCAAAATATTAAAAATAAAAACTCTGTTGAAAATAGTGATAATAATAATTATTCCGTCGATGGGACAAATTCGAAAATGAAAAAAGCAATTTCGGAAAAATGTTTTAGTAGCATGATAATAACGGAAAATGATGATTCCTTACATCCGCTGTATCGAGTCGTGAACGCGACGTTGGAAAGAAAAAGGAAAAAAGATGACAAAAATTCATTTTTTTCGAACGGTTCGGATGTTCTTTGTTTGCCCAACTACGTTAATTCTGCCGAAAGCGGATACGACAGCGATGGAAACCGTCCTTGCGATGATAACAAATCGGAAAGGATAACTCAGGAGTTGGACGGAGATAGCGGTATCGTTGCCAACGAAAGTTCCGATACGGGATCCCTACACGAATCCGAATCCGGAAACGAAACTCCCATGTCTTCCTTTTTAGACATCACGGAAATGCAAAGCAAAGATCTTCAGGATAGTTTAAATTTGAGTTTTTTAAGGAAACCCGAATTCGCGCCGTCGGAAATCGTCAAAGCCGAACCTTGCATCGTGTACAACGACAGCGAAATATCGACGAAAGAAGAAGAAGAAGAAGAAGACCCAAGTAGTTCCTTTAGTTTGCCACCGGTGCCTTTTGATGATGATGATGCTTTAAACGAAACGAGAAGTCCGAGATCGGGTATATACGCAAAGAAATCATCCAACGATTCAATAAAATCCTCCTATTCATCGAAATATTTTTCGAGAGATAATCCGATGAGGAATAGCTGTCGTAGATTTTCCGACAGCAGTTATTTGTCGGTAATGGCAAGAGAAAGAATCGAATGTCCTAAAAATAATTTACGACTTTACAGAGTTGCCAAAGTTCGCGAAGACGAAGTTCTCGGAATACAATTGGGAGTGAGAGAAATTGGAAACGAATCAAGGTACTATATAAAATATATCGATCCCGCAGGAGCCGCTTTCAGGTTCGTACAAAAAAAAAATAATTTTTTTTTTTTTTTTTTTTCATTTTATACCTTTTTTCATTTTCAATTAAATTTAATTATTATTATTATTATTATTACAGAGATGGAAGACTTCGCGTGAACGACGAAGTTGTTAAAGTGAACGGACGCCTTCTTCGAGGCCTTCCTTTTCCGGAAGAAGCCAGGGCTTTGCTTAAACATCACGTGGGAATCAACACAGGTACCGAAAACGCCGCCGCCGCAGCCTCCGCCACAGCTGCCACCCTAACAAATTCCGATGAATTTTACGTGGATGTACTGACTTTACAAGACGAAATAACAGGATATAATAATAATTTTCATCGTTCTCTAAGTCAAACAAATCTATGCGAAAAACCCGTGGAAAATTTGAAAAAGATAAAATGTGCAAAACACGGAATCGTGGCACTAGAACGAGATGCGTCGTCGTCGACTCGAGAAGAATCGAAAGGAAAAGAGGAGAGAAAAAAAGGAAACAACAAGGGTTCTTTTCCGACGACGGGATCGGTTATATCTCATCACACGGTCGTGTTTCGTAAGGGACCGGGTTGTAAATCCCTCGGATTCAGCATAGTCGGAGGACGGGATTCACCAAAGGGAAAAATGGGGATTTTTATAAAAACAATATTTACAAACGGTCAAGCAGCCGACGACGGAACGCTTCGGGAAGGTGAAAAAAATTTCATTCATTCCAATCATAATTACCTGATATTTTTAATTAGTATAAATGCAAATGAAATTTTTCTTTTTTTTTTTATTGTTTTAGGAGATGAAATTCTGACGGTGAACGAAGATTCACTTCAGGGCACGTCTCACGAAGAAGCCATAGCGGTATTTAAAAAAATAAAATCGGGTCCCGTTTTAGTGACCGTCGGAAGACGGAAAACTCATTAAAAATGGAAAATCAAAAAAAAAAAAAGAAAGTCGATTGATTTACCTTTGTTTGTTTGGCAAAGGATGGACAGGTGAGCACTCGTACACCCCCCCGCGCACGGGCATACAATATTTATTACGCCAAAAGCCTTCGAGGAATTGCATGATAAAAAGCAAACGGGAAACGAAAAGGTAAGAAAGTTGTTAAATAAGAAAAAAAAAAAAAATTATTTTTTACAGTTTGAGAGATACGCATTATGCGTGCACGCACTCACGCACCCACCCAACGCGTAAAATTTTATTAATTATTTTTGAAAATAATTTTACCGTTTCGTGAATTAATAAATAAATAAATAATTTAAATTTACCCACCATCATTTACAAATTTCACAAACTGAATATAAATTATGTATAAATATATATAAATATATAAATATCGACTGATATTATTATTATTATTATTATCAAAGTTCAACACGTCATCAAATCACAATAAATAAATACATAAATAAATTTTTATTTCATTTCATTTTATTTTATTTTGTTTTTATTATTATTATTATTATTATTATTATTATTATTAGTAATAAATATGTATTTAATGTAATTAATTAATTAATTAAGTAAAAAAAATTGTAAATTTAATTATTATTATTATTATTGTTACTGTTACTATTACTTTTCATCGATTTCGTAATAAATAATAATTTACATTTTTAATTTTTTATTTATTTTTTATTTAATATTATTAATAATAATAATAATTTCCTTTTATTTCAAATTTTTTTTTTTTTTTTTAACGCTAAGGTAAATAAAGAAGGAAATTTTTTTTTAATAAATCATTTTGTAAAATAAATAAATATATTTATTTATTTAAAATAAAATAATAACATAAAAATATAAATAAATAAAAACAACGCACCAATTATAATTAATTAATAAATAAATAAATGTTTAAAAAAAAACAAAAAACAATAGGAACAAATCAAAGCGTAAAAATTTAAATTTTTTCTATCTCTCTATCTCTCTCTCTCTCTTTCGGATAAATACTAATAATAATAATTAAAAAAAACGGTAACGTAAAAATCATTAAGATGACGACAAACGATTGCAATTTAAAAGAAAAAAAAACACTAATAATAATAATAATAATAATATCTAATATTTGCTGCATATTTTTTTTTGTAAATATGCAACGCTTACGTCGCGGCAAAAAAAAAAAAATTGTTTTTTATTATTTACTACCCGTTGACAGGTACTCGTAAATAAGGCGACACATAATCGATTAAAAAAAAAAAAAAAAAAATTAAAGATGGCGATCTAAACGGATTATTAAATTTTCTAAAAATAAAAAAAATCTCTCGTAATTTTTTTTACACGAATGTTTACTTAATTAATAATAGTAATAATAATAATAATACTGATTGTTTTTTATTGTTTTTTTTTTTTTAAATAACGAAATCGTAATAAAATGGCGATAAATAATTTACGTTTGAGGTTTTTTTTTAAAATTTAAAATTAAAAATCATTTTAAAATTTGAAAACAAACAAACAAACAAACAAAGAAAAATTTATGTTTCTTCTTCAATATCTAAAAGTCTTTGTTGAGATTCCAATGATTCTCCTTTGAGTCTAAAAAAAAAATGAAATTTAAATTGAATTATTATTATTATCATTGTTTGTGGTTTTCTTATCGATAAGAAATGATTACGTACCTGCTCATGTAAGCCTTACGTCTAAAATACCATTTTTTATATGCGAAATAAACGGCTATATTAACGGATATGCTAAGAAGTATGAGACCAAATAATATACTTCCAACGTCTAAAAAAATTAAAAAAAAAAAAAAAACAATAATAATAATAACAAACAAATTAAAAATCAATAAATCAATAAATCAATAAATTTTCACGGTTTTTTTTTTTTTTGTTATCGATAACAACTCGTGTTATTTAATTCGATCATCGTTTTAACAAACAACAACAAATTTTAATTTTTTTTTTTTTTTTTTTTACCACCATGAGTTTTTCTTTTTACACGTCGTCAACATCTTCCTTTATCGTTTGCATAATTTAATCAATAAAACAAACAAACAAACAAACAAACGCAAAAACAAACGAATTGATTTTAATAATAAAATTTTCTTTTTTCTCTTATATAAATTTTTCATACTTATTATTATCATCATCATTGTAATAATTAATAATTTTATTAACAAGTTCAAGGATTTATTAAATTTTTTTTTTTTTTTTCGTCCTTATCAACATTTTGTTAATAACATACATAAATAAGCGTGTGTGTGTGCGCGTGCGTGCAACATTTAATCATTAATTTTTATTCTCTTATCAATTAAAGGGGGAAAAAAAAAATTTTACTTAAACTAAAAAATTAAAACAAACAAACAAACAAAGAAAAAATATTATTATTTTTTTAAAATATATTTTTATGTAACAAACAAGGAAAAACAAAAAAATTATTAATAATAATAATAATAATAAAAACAATAAAATCATCAAAAATATATATATATGTATATATAAAAACATAACAGTAGTAAAAAAGGCACAGGTATTATTAATAATAATAATAATTGTGGTTTTATAATCGATACAAATAAAAAAAAAGAAAAAAATTTGTTCTTAACACATGATATTGTTCGTTCTGAAGGGGTGCGGGGTGCGGGGGGTGGGTGATGGTGAGGGTACATTAAAATATGTTCAAGTATGACTTACTTTGGGAAGTGTAACGACTCGATTGAGGATTTTTTAACATTTTCGAAACGATGTTTAAACTTCCGTTTGTTTTTTCCGCATATTCGGGAAACCCGGACATGAAAGCCCACAATGAAAACAAATCCAATGTTTTAAACGGTTTGATTTCATATTGTTTTTTTATATCAGGTCCTATGGCGATAAAATAAGGTTTCATTTCCTTGTGACTGTTATCGTAACCGTGAATACCAAACGGAGTGTTATCGTTAGCTAGAAAACACAAAAAAAAAAAAAAAAAAAAGTTTTAATGTTCGTGACCTATTGACATGAACAAAAATAATTACAACAACCTTTGTATTTGCAAAATGTTTGTTTGTTTGAAATTAATTAATAAATAATCGATGATTATACCAGTAAAATTCCATTTTTTTTCAATTCCTTTGGTGTATGAATAAAAATCATGAAAAACGTGGGGGGGATTTGCAAGAGCAAATATCGGTGGAGCTCTTCTATTGTTTTTAAAATGCCAGTGATTTGGTATTTCTGTCGTTTTAAATACTTGAAAATTTGAACCGTTTTTAACGGCGTCTTTTAATGCGTTATACACAATGTTGGCTTTTCCAGGTTTCGGATAAATGTGTAATCCAGGAGATGTTTCATATATGTCATAATAATCACTGGATACAAAATTTCTTAAATCGATGACATCTTTTTTAGTCGAAGAAATCATTCCATGATCGGATAAGAAAAAAACATTTACATGCTCGGTTAATTTATTACTTTTTAGCCTGAAAAAAAAAAAAAAAAATTAATTTACTATGACTTTAAAAAAAAAAAAAAAAAATTAAATTAAAAAAACAATATTTACTTTTCTAATAAATATTTTGTAATTTCATCCATGAGTTTTAACTCATCGATAAATTTGGAAGAATCAATTCCAAAACTGTGACCATGATAATCAGGTTCTTCGATATACAACATTATTAAATTTGCTGGTTTTTGTGGATTTAATATCCACTCCATTACTTCATCTATTCTTTTTTCCCATGTAACATTATAATTCCAGGCTTTAAAATAAGTCGGTTTGACACCTGAATATTCAAACTCGTTACCAGGCCACATCATAATGCCTGAATGTCGCTTTCCTCCTTTTTTTTCATTCGCAATCTGAATATTTTTATTTGAATTATAATTATTATTATTATTATTTTATTTTATTTATCAAAAAAGTTAGAATTGAACAAACCCATATAGGAAGAATGTCATTTGAGTAGTGCCATAATTCATAACCATAAGTAAGTTCTTTCTTATGCAAGCTGTCATACAAATTATTACCCAAAACACCATGAAATTCTGGGTAAACTCCAGTTGCTATTGAATGATGATTTGGAAAAGTTTTAGTAACAAAAACATTATCCAAATATTCAGCATATGTTCCAGATTCTTTGATTTTTGAAAGTGTTGGGTTTACACCTAACATGTAAAGTTTAACAAATGAGTAAGTTGCATTTAAAGAAGGAACTAAGAAAAACTAAAATCGATAAAGAATATAAAAAATTGATTGGGTCAAAGTGATGGACGTAATTTAATTATCATTTTAAATTGTAAATTACAGTATTTGAAAATTTAATTCGAAATCAGTCACTTACCCTTAGATAAGTAATCATAACGAAAACCGTCATAAGAAACGATTAAAATAATAGGATGTTGTGACAGGAGGTCAACAGTATAAAAACACGAGAAAAAAAATATTAAGAAAAAAATGTGAAGGTTTTGAACCATGGTTCATCACTACTAGGCACTGAAAAAAATTTTTTTTTACAAAAAAAAAAAAAACTTTTTTAAAATTTGTGACTACTACTCATTATGATGCGACAAAATCAGCTGTCGGAATAAGTTTAAAACGATTTGTCGACCATGAAAAGCTGTGGATTACACATTTACAAAATGATCAATAACGTACTAGAAATTTTTTATATTTATTTTTAAAACGAAAATTTTAAATTTACATATTATCTTATGTTTAAGCAAACTTTTTCAAAGCATTTTTTTACCTGCTCTTTATTTGTATTTTGTTTTTTATTATTTTACTTTACGTTATCGTTAAACTCATGCGTGTTCGGTAATTTTAAATTAATACTTAAAAAGTATGAAAAAAGTTCTCATTTGATAAAATCAGAAAATGGTATTTTTGGTAAAAATGAATTTGAATCAGAGACCGTTGTTAGAATTGTACCATTGTCCTGGAAGCAAAATTCTAACTTTAAAGTAAGTTTTTTGTATTTTTTTTTTTTCTAAAATTATTATTTGAAAATTCAAAATTAACATAATTTTTTAATTATATTTATTTTCAGAAAAAAAATTCAATGGGTTCTTATAAATACAGATTTTTACAACAGAAAAGTTTATTACCATCTAGAAAATTACCAGATGCTCTCATTATAGGAGTTAAAAAGGGTGGAACAAGAGCATTATTAGAATTTATCAGGCTTCATCCTGATGTAAGAGCAGCTGGTTCAGAAGTGCATTTTTTCGATAAGCACTACAACAGAGGTTTCAAATGGTATAGACGTTGTATGCCAGCTACATTAGAGGGTCAGATAACTATGGAAAAAACTCCCAGTTACTTTATTACAAAAGAAGTTCCAAAAAGAGTTCATGCCATGAACCCACTAACAAAACTTGTCGTCGTCGTTCGGGATCCTGTTACTAGAGCTGTATCAGATTACACTCAAGCAGCCAGGTGAGTTATAGGAAAATTGAATTTTCATGAAAATTTGAGACTTTGAATTTAATATTGATTTTTCATCCAGCAAAAGACCTGACATAAAACAATTTGAAGAATTAGCTTTTTCAAATGGTAGTCATGGTATAGTCAATACTTCATGGGGTCCTGTTAAAATTGGAATTTACGCTCGTTTCTTCGAAAGATGGCTGCATTACTTTCCATTATGACAGTTTTTGTTTGTAAGCGGCGAACTGTTAATTATGGATCCTGCTGCTGAAATGGCAAGAGTTCAAGTAAGTTTTAAAAAACTGTAAACTTTCTAAAATAAAAAAAAAAATATTTTTATTAAAAAATGAATTTATGGTTTTTATAGGATTTTCTCGGGCTAAAAAAAGTTATCACTGAAAAATATTTTTATTTCAATGTAACTAAGGGTTTTCCCTGTCTTATGAAATCTGAGGGCCATTCAACACCCCACTGTTTAGGTAAAACTAAAGGACGCAATCATCCATCCATTGAACCTTTTGCAATTCAAAGACTTAGAAATTTTTATAGACCTTTTAATGAAAAATTTTATAGAATGACAGGGATTAATTTTGGATGGCTGTAAAAAAAAGTAAAATAAATAATTGCTCAGTTTTAATTTTTTTAAAGTTAAGAATAAGGTAAATGATTTATTTTGAAAAAAAAAATAAACAAAACATCAATTAATTAACTTCATTTATCGAATCTTTCGAAATTAATATTTTTTAATGAATGATTTTGTAGACATATTGAAAACAAATCGTAAAGTTTATTACTTTTGTAAAAGAAAAAACAAAAATTGTAATTTTTAATTTTTATTTGTTTAACAGTTATTAAATAGCTCAATTCAGTATTAAAGATTATTAGAATATTTCTAACAAAATCAACGTCAATTAGTTAAATTTGAAAATTGTAATTATTATTAGTACCTCAGTGAGTTTTTCAATTCGATTTTTTATTTTACAATAAATCAAATATCTCCATACATAAAATAAATTATGCTTAAACAATAAATTATTAATTTTTTTTTATTGTAGTACTTGTTTGTGAATGTTAAATATTGCATTTTTTTTAAAATCAAAAATAGTTTTATTAAAAAGTCAATTGAAATTAGGACGTTATACTTTAGCAATAATAATTTTAGATATCTAGGCTTTTCTATGATTTTATTTTCTTTAATTTGACTGTCATATTTCATTTTCAACTCGAGTTTTCTCTAACCAAATGAATATTTGTCCATGTCAATTTTGTAATTTTTTTTTTTTTGAAATATAAATAAAATAATCATTGTGCTTTTGTAAGAAATGAATTTTTTATTATTACTATTTTTATGGGAGTAATAATTTTGTGGTAAAATTAAAATGGGTATTTAATTTTTTTTAAAATTTTAAAGTTAATAATTGTATTTTGAAATTATTAAATTCTTCAAAAACAGTCACAAGTTTCCCTTTTTTTTTTTATCAGGAATATAATTTTTATAAGTTTATTTAAATATAATTAGAATAAAAATAGAAATAATAATAATAATAATAATAAATTTTTTATTGGAAATTTTTATATAATCTTATAATATTTAATGTATTTTAGACAAAAAATATTAATAACAGTAAATCTTATTAAAAATAATTTACATACTAAAAATCTTTAAATTTGTTGCCATCTTTTTTTATCCAATGGGTAAAATTTTTGAGTTTTAAATTTTATAACGAAATAGTTAATTAGAGCATTTTAAAGTTAAGAATCGCATAACATTTAAAACACTTTTTTTTTTTTTTGTTTTTTTTTTTTTTTTAATAATTTTCATTTTTAAATATTGCAGCAAATAAATCATGCAAAATTTATTATTTAGATTTTAATTAAAACTTATGTCATCATTAAATTAGAAGAAAATAATTGAAAATTGAAAATTTATTAGAAGTTGTTTAAATTTTCATCGACTGCCATGTAACATAAAACACCATCTCCTGGAACATGCTTTATTGAAATATATGCTCTACCATCAGGAGATTTGTGAATTATAGCAGGAGCAATAGGACCAGGTTTGGGAAGGCCAGGTATTTTTTCACAAACTAAGGTACCCTACAAGGAAAATTATTATTATTGTTAACGATTAATCAATTGCTGATGAAGTAATATTAATTTCACAAATGTCTAACATGGAAATTGTAAAATTATAAGTATTATTTACCAGTAGCTCAGGAAGGGATGGCAAATTGGCACTTGGTGGAGGTTTTGTGAAAGGAAGTTGTAGACAAGAATTAGCAACTTGAATTTTTAAATATTGTATATATTCATTCTTTTTCTTAATATTTTCACAGCTGTCATCATCAATTGCAACAAGTTTTCTCACCCATTCTGAAATTCGAACCCTATCTAAGGAGGAATAAATAATTTTAAAACGGTTTTAAAATATTAACTGAGATTATTAAAAAAAATATATATATTTATTCCTATAACCAGGTTACCATAGGTTGTTATAAATCCTTTTGGTTATATTGTAAATGAAAATTTTTAACTTAAGCACATATTTTTTTTTTTTTTTTTATAATTAAATGAAAGAATGGTTAGCATTTAAATAACTTAAACAAGAATAAAAGTAAAATTTAACGCACTGAAAATATTTATTATTTTTAGTTTAGGAAAATTAATAGTACAAAAGAACGGATAAAATTTCAAATTACAATATAATGTTACCATAGGGATTGTCTAGATTCATCGAACTAAAGCCAATTTGTCTGATAGCATTTTTAAACTCATCCTTATCGTTTTCACTCATTTATATGCATTTGAAATCTCACGGTAATCAGTAAAAATATTTTAAAACAAACAATTTAGATAAGGAATTTTAATTTAAAAGTACATAAGTAAACAAAAAATATTGTCGCCATCAAATAAAAACTTAAAAGCAGGCCGCCTACATATAATGAATCAAGAAGGGCTAATGCTCCATGTGAGATTTTTGTAAGAGTTTCTAGTAAATTAACACTTACTTACAATTTACAGTAATTATTATTACTGTTTACAACTGTCAACAATTAACGTATTAATACTCATGCATATTTCAATTCATTTATGTGCACTTTTGTATGGCCTTAATAAAAACTTCATATCAGAAGCCATATATCTCGTTTCGTTTTGTTAAGAATTTGTTCAAGAATTTGAAATATAATTTAGTCGGTAACATGAACGAAGAAGTAAAAACTGAAGATGGGTTCGTAATTATAAAAGAGGGGAAAGCAGAAATTTTACAGAAACATGACGAAAAAGTATTTTATAATCCTGTGCAGGAATTCAATAGGGACTTGAGGTAAAATAACAATAACAATAGAAATCAAGTATTGTCTTTATTTTATTTTTAATTAATTTTAACTTATTTAATTTGTCAACAGCATTCTATCAATTATTACATTGGCAAGACAGCTACTTCAAAAACAAGCCGTTGGTGGTGACAACAAAGATAACAAATTTTCTTTTAAAATTTTAGAAGCTCTTTCTGCGACTGGTCTAAGAAGTATTCGATATGCTAAAGAAGTTCCATATGTGACTGAAATTATTGCAAATGACTTTTCAGAATCTGCTATTATTAATATGAAAAGAAACATTGAACATAACAAATTAGAAAATTTAATTCAAATAAGTTATTCCAATGCAATGTATGTATGATAAAAACATTTAAATATTAGTTGATTTATACATTTTTCACTTGTAAGATTGAGAAAGTTGGGAAATCAAGTAAAAAAAAAAAAAAAGTTTCTTTTTAGAACACTAATGCATAATCATACGGAATACTCCAAAAGGTTTCATATTGTGGATCTTGATCCATATGGAAGTCCTACTCAATTTTTAGACTCTGCTGTTCAATGTGTGGTAGATGGAGGAATGTTATTGGTCACTTGCACAGATATGGCTATTCTCTGCGGTAATTTTCCTGAAACCTGTTATGCCAAATATGGAGGTATACCCTTAAAAAGTCCAGCTACTCATGAAATGGTATTAGTATTATTAAATTTTAATGGATTTATTTTACAAGAATTTTTTTCTTTGATGACGACAAATTTTCGATATTATTTAAGATGATTTTTTTACATCATGGTAAATATTATTAAAGTAATTTCTTTTTTTTTAGGCAATTAGAATTGTATTACAAAGTATTCAATCTCATGCTGCAAGGTATAAAAGATATATTGTACCCCAACTATCTCTAAGTGTCGATTTTTATGTGAGAATTTTTGTAAAAATTTATACAAGTGCTGCAGCCTGCAAAGATGGTACAAGGTAAAAATTTATTATTATATACATAATTTAATTTTACTTTTGATTATGACAGACTTATATTTAAATTACTTTTTTTCAATAAAAAAATGATATACATTATTGTAAATAATAATCTTATAACTTAATTTTAAGACAAGACATGAATACCAAAATTACTATTTATCGACAAATTATTATTATTTTTTTTTTTAAATGGACATTAGTAGAATTTTTTAAACATTTCATATAATAATTACTTATTTTAGTAATTTAGCAATGGTTTACTATTGTAAGGGATGTGGTGCAACTACTTTACAGCCTCTCGGAGTAAAAAAAATGTGCAAAGAAAATAAAAATGTTAAAAGGGTTTTACCAGATGCTCCTCCTGTTGGAATAAAATGTGTACATTGTAATGGTAATCACATTGTAAGTATAATATTGAATGTTTAGTTGATAAATTGGATTGTTTAAAATTAATTATTATTAGCCTTATTAAAAGTTTTCTAAATGTTTTTAGATGGGTGGCCCTATTTACAGTGGACCCATTCACGATTACAATTTTGTCAGTGAAATGTTAAACTCAAAAGAAATAAACGAATTTAATACCTCTAAACGAATAACAGGAATTTTATCAGTAGTCAGAGAAGAACTTGATGTACCTTTATATTACAACACTTCTAAATTATCATCTGTTTTAAGATGTTCTTCCATTCCAATCCTCACATTTCGGTAAAATAACATATAATTAAGGAAATTATTTTTATATTTACTCGCTAATAGTAATTTATATTTATATGTTTTTTGTGCAGATCAGCTATACTTAACTCAAATTACCGGGTTTCGTATTCTCACGCGTCACGACAGTCTCTTAAAACAGATGCCCCCATGTCTTTTATTTGGGATGTAATGAAACAATGGATACTAGACAATTCAATAAATTCAGATAAAATTGATCCGTCAAGTCCTGGTGGTGTTATACTTAAACAACCAATTAAAAATAAAATTGATTTTTCACTTAGACCTGATGCTAATCCATTATCTAGAGAATTAGGATTAACTCGATATCAAGAAAATCCAAAACCTTATTGGGGACCTGGGGTTAAACATAAAATAATGTAAATATTTTTCTTAGCTTTAAAAGAAAATTTTTAAAAATAATTCACGTTTTTAAAAAATATGTATATATATATATATATTTGTTTTTAGGGTTTTAGAAGAAAATCCAAAAAAATTAAAAAATCAAAATAGGAAAAAGTCGAAAGAGACAAAAGCTGAAGGTATTGAAGATGAAAACGAAGGAAATTTAAATAACCAATAGCAATTGTAAATATATAACATTTATATTGAGAGATCTTTAAATAAATTATTTTATTAAAATTACACAAGAGTAAAATTTTTATGGTAAAAAATCTTGTTTAATATTTATAAACTTGAAATGAACAAGTATTTGTAAAGTGTTGCGCACTTTAGTTATTAAAATTTTTGTAATTAAGTAATTAGCCTACGATTTAGCCTTTAAAATTAAAAGATTCTGAATTTTAATTAAGTAATAAAAAAAAAAAAAAAAAAAAAAAATTAAATTGTTTGTAACATTTAAATTTATTAATTAATGGAAATTTTGGCGCTGGTTCAACATTTTGTCGCAGCTAGTTAAACTGACGTTTGTCTAATCGCCATTTTTACAATTTGTCAAAACTCAAAGCTGCAGGCTGGAGGTTTACTTTGCCCACTAAGCTAGGGGTAAAAGATAGTAAAATATATTTTAGTTTTTTCTTAAAAACTTGCTTTCTAATTTCGTGTTCTAGTAACCAAACAAATTATTTTCAATAAATAAGTTGAATAATAACAGGCGTAGCTTAAAACTTTATTTAAAAAATTACCCACCCTCATTCAAAGTATTTTTAGAAATTAAAAAATATCACTTAATTTTTGAATTAAAATTTTTAAAAAATTGTGATTTTTTATCGTAATTTGAATAATAAAATGATTTTTTTTAAAAATTATAAATTATGTTTTGCATGTCACATTAATTATAATTTGAGTAATGAAGCTTTGTTTTTAAATTAGTTAATTAAATTGTTTTTATACAGTCACAATTATTTTTATTTATGATTAATAAATATATTAAGAATATTTTATAATAATTAAATGTAATTTTAAACGTGATTGCTTTCTAAATTAAAAATAATTTTTCAAATTTAGGTCTAAATGCGTAGATTTAATTTAAATGAATTTTGCCGCAGGTTCTTATGCTTATAAAATGGTTTATGAAGTTATGGTTTTAAATGATAGCTGACCACAAGCCATGAGTGGCTTGAGAGGTGGGCCTCTGGGCTACTCTTCTGATGCCCTGGAGCCAGAGGTAAGTAATTTCAGTGCAAACTGTTTAAAAAATTTATTTTTCCTGATTAACATTTATGCTGTAGTTTCAAAACTAACTTTATATTATAAAAAATTTATAATTTGCTTTTCAGAAAAAACCAGTGAGGTTTGACATAAATCTCTATGGGGCTCCCCAGGAGGTCATGCAACTGATTACAAACATCAAGGATGTTGCAGAACAATTTTTATACCACTGGAAAACATTTCCTATTATTCTTCCTCCTCCTATCGGATTAGAATCTTTTCAAAATCAGACTTCCCACAGATATTCTAGTTCAGATCCACTAACTCACTCAAATAATAATTTGGGTGGTGGTGATAGTCATTCAGCAGGTTAGGTTTTGTTATATTTAATTGCTTTTATTTAATAATTGCTAATGACACAGATATTTAACTAAATTTTTTTCTTTCTTAGCTTGCCATAGTCTTGCTCGAAGGCATCATAAACACACAAATGCTAGAGATTTATTCATTACACCTTCTTTTGACGAACTTGATGCTGTGGCGATGGATTCGAAAGGAGAGCAACGAAGACTTGGTAGCAAACATTTTGAATCAATACAAGAAAGAGGGTAAGTTTAAAATAAAATAAAAAATTTATATGTTTATTATTATATAAATTAGTTTTCAAAATTTATCATGATTAAGGGTGGGTTTTATTTTTTGATTCTTCTAAAAATCGAGAACTGTCATTACAAAAATTTTATTTCAATATTATTAAATTATTTCTCTTTTTTTTTTTTTTTTTTTTTTAACTATCTTTGAATGAATAAAAAAAAATTAATAAATTTTTTAACTTTTATGCTTTCTTCATATGTAAGGCTTGATAAAGATAAGTATGGTAAACCTAAACGATTAAACAGTAGTCAACTTGAAAGTATTCAAAGATGGGGGTAAGTAATCTGTAAAAAAAACTTAAAAACATTTAGAAATAGAAATTTTATATAATTTTAATACTTTCTATATGATGTTTAAAAATAATAAAATTTCTTATTACAAAAAATTAAATTATTTAATTTAAAAATCGACTAACTTGAATTCGAGAAATTATTTGTTGTAGATTTATTTATTTTTGATAATGTAACAATTCTTTTCTTTTAAAAAAATTATTTCAAAAATTAAATGTTAATTTAAAACTTAATTTAAATTTTAGAGAATTCGAAGTGGATAGTTTAAATTTTCCTGGACAAGTTCACAAATGGAGGTTAAGTGAATTGATGCAAAAAGGATCTGAACGAAGCAGGGATTCACTTTTAAATGATCTGTCATTAGCTCTGCGTTTTATTATAGTCACTGCTAAAGGTAACTCGAAGAAAATTATTTTTTTTGAAACAATTAATTAAGTCTTACTTAATCTTAATAATGAATTTATTTTTTAGGACGCTTATTTTCACATTATTTTAGTGTCCTTCAAGCGGTTAAAGCTCTCTTTACTGGACTTTTAAGACTGTTGGATATTTTTATTGGTGTACCTTCTTTGCTCGCTCATAACGTTGAAGAAAAAATTCGTGAAGAAAGAAGTCGATATCTTGTTGCAGAATTAGTTTGCAGGGTACATACATATTAATTAATTATTATTACCTTTTAAGAAATTGTTTTAATAATAAATTTTTTTTTTTAGCCGGAATTAGAAGAGTCTCTTGAATTTTTATGTAAATTTGTAAAACGTCAAATCAGACGAGCAGCAACTGAAAAATTTGAAATAGAACGTGAATCAGCCAACATTCCTATTTCTATACCCTATTTGTTTCTCACTCCAAAGGTAAGGTAATTTATGTCGATTTTGTTTTGATTCTAGCCTTTTTTCAATGATATTTAATGTAATAAATAAAAAAAATTGAATTAGGGTTGCGAACTGGATTTAAGACTTTTCTCAAGAGATCTCATGAAAAAAGCTCTCCCAGTTTTAGTTTCTATTTTAGAACGTGAAACGCGGGGATGGTTTTTGCATTTTAGGGAAAAACTTATTTCAGAATTAAGAGCACAAAAATTATCAGATTTTCAAATAGAAAGGGTAACGTATTTAAAATAATTTAAAATGAGAATGGATGAGAGGAAATTATTTATTTATCATTGTTCGATTTATCGTTTAGGAAGTTAATGATGCCGTCATGAAAGAATACCTGCAAAGGGTTTATTCTAGCATCTTATCACATCCGGATCTTATGGCTTTAGGAGAAGGAGTACCAAAACTCTTTGTAGAACAAGCAAATTCAGTTGTGTTAATGCACAGGTTTTTTATTATATTATTAATTTTTCTTGATGATTTTTCTTGGGAGTGATTATTAAATTATTCCCCATTTCTTATAGGGCTGTAGAAAATGTACAGAAAAAATTAAAAACAACCAAAGAAAATTTAAAACTTAGGCTGGAATACATGCATCCGGTTTTATGTAGAATTCGACCTTGGATGAGAGATAAATTGAGAAAAGCGGAAGCAAAATTTATTGAAGAATGTCAATGGAGTGCTCACGAGGAAGCTTTAGTTTTATGCAATAATAATCGTTTATCTCAAACTGTTTATTTCTTAAACCGTGATTTAACTTTTATGAAAGAGGTAAATAAATTACTAGCTCGTTATAAAATCATTATAAATACGTGTATGAATGTATATACATTATTTTTTTAGAGAGAGCCGGTTTTATTAAAAGAACTTCGAAAAGTTAAGAATCCAACCAGAAGTTTTCATTGGTTAACTCAAATCTGGATGCCCACTCATTGGATCATCAAAAGAAGTTTTCAAGGAACTACAGAAATTATCCCTACAGTTTTAAGTTCAACTCCTACCTCAATAACAACTCCGCGTTCAGATCCTAGTCAGGTGAGTGTTCAATTTAAATGAAAATAAATTTCATATAAATGCCAAAATTTTTTAAAGACTATTAACTTATTAAAAAAAAAATTTTTAGCCCGTGTTTTTAGTTGAAAAAGAAAACGTTCGCGTTACAACGACCAGATGGCCCATGTGGCGATGGATTAATTATTGTCATCGAACGTGGGCTTGGACTTGGAATGCCATGTTTTTATTGGGAGTAAGTAATGTTTAATATTATTTTACAGAAGATGAGAAGAGAAGAAAAAAAAAAAGTTTTGATGAAAATCAAAAACTCTTGTAAATTCTTTTAGATTGTTATACCTTGGTGTAGTCCCGTTAGTTTCCGAGCTCTCTTTAGTGTAGAACCTTTCATGCCAGATTTAGAATTGTCTCAGGTAAACGGAACTTTATTTCCAAAAAAATCCAGTGTGACTCCAACATTATGTTCTCGACTTAGTTCGCTTTGGAGACACATTTCAAAATCTAGAACACATTTTGAAACGAAACCGGATACGGGTAAATGATGGAAATAATAAATTTTATTTTTAGATTAAAAGTTGGTTGGTAATTTACATACTTTTAATACTTTTTGTTAGGCTTTATTGGTAAGGGAATGACTCGACATTTAAATAGAATTTGGAATTACATAATAAAAGGATTTTTTGGTACGCTAGCGTGGGCTACTTTATTTCCGATAATATGCATTGTTATTAGTGGAGTTAGTATAGTTATCGCTCTTTCCGCAGTACTGTGGTAAATATTTAAAAACTATTCTTGTTTTATTTTATCGAATTAATTATCACTAATTTTATCGATTATTTGTTTGTTTGTTTGTTAGGATGCCCATGTTTACACTATTTTTACATTTGTTTATGGCGGTGTTGTATGACTTGGACAATCCAGATCCTTCAAAAAATAAATACTTTGTTTTTTTAGAAGCCATAATTTGGAATATATTAATTCAAGGTTGCATGCAACCAATAGCTGCAATTATTGTGGGTGCAATCATTTGTCCCATTATAAGTTTGTTTATTCTCGCAGGTAATGTTTTACACATCTATGATTTTTTTTTTTTTTGCATTAATAAAAATATGTTTTAACGGTAATTTACTATTTTTTTTTTTTTTTTTTTCAGTTGCATTTACAAGGTACGGAGCTCGTTTGACGTGGGATGCTGCCATGTTTCATTTAATAATTAAAAAAAGAGGTCGGATACCGGCTTCGGATAGTTTCGTCGTGAAAAGAATAGCCGGACCTGGTTTGGCAAGTGATTATTATTATCAAATCAAACCGGAACAAGCTTTGGCTTCCTTAGAGGCTAGAATGGAATTAGACGAACTGTCTGCTTATCAACATGAAATGGAACAAATAATAATGCAACCAACGAAAGATTTTAGGTAAATTTAAAATCCGTATAATTATTTTTGCTATTGATATCGTAATTAAAACTGTTACTTACACGTCATCATCATTATTTTTTTTTTTTTTTTTTGGTTCAGTCAATTTGTTGAATGTTGTTTTACTCCTTTCTCTGCTCAAATTTCAAAAACGGGAGTTTATTCGGTTTTGGAAAAAGAGTGTCAGGATTTATTAGCTTGTCTCCATGAAAAATTGGAAAGACGGAGAAGGGAGTTAAATAATGGCCTTAGCGGAACCGTCAGATCAAAAATTAAATTAACTGCTACTCATTTAAAGGTGATTTAAAGCTCTTTTTGTTTGAGAGCCATTAATAATTCTTTAAATCGATAACTTAATTAATTTTTAACTTTCATTAGATTGCTCTACAACAAGGAGCACTCATGTTGGAAAGGTTTTATCCGACTCACGTTTTGCAAAGGCTTCCTGCTACGGAAGAAGAATTTTGGGAAGCGAGGGGTTTGGGAGTAAACGATTGGTCTGGTTTGGTGGCATTAATTTTTGCCGATATATTTTCTCTAGATTTTTTGACGCCATTAGATGACACGGATACTCGTTTTAAACTCGAGGTAAATTTTTAATAAAATTAAATAATTATTCCCTTTTTTTCACAACAATGATAAAAAACAAATTTTTTTTTTTTTTTTTTTTTTTTTTTTTTTCACAGCCTCATCCTCAAGTGGATTTATCACGTTTTATTGAATTAGTTTCTGGAGCAGAATTGGGTTCGGGCCCCGATCTTCTCGGTCCTGTACACGCACCTAGAGGAAATATTCAAATTCATTCTCCATACTTGGACGTGTCTGCTTTTAATCCTCGTCAAATGCCTCGAAAAGGAGATCATAAAAGGTAAATTAAAAATTTTTAAAAAAAATGACGTTTTTTTATTATTATTAAATAAAATTAAAAATTACGAGTACGTATTGTGTTAGCGATTCTGGATCATCACATAAAAGTAGAATTAAACGTCACAGAACTTGGTCTTCGATGGTTCCATCGAAGAAAAATGAAAAACTTATGTGGAAACCGTGGAAACGAGAAAACAAGTGGTACAATGCTGAAAAATTAGTCATACCTTTGCCCATCCCTCATCCCGCTCATATCGGTATCACAATTCACAACAGGGATTCCGACGATCCCATAAATTTAGGTACGGAACTGTGTAATAATATTCTTAAAGCGCTGGAAGATTCCCAGGTACGAGATTTATTTTCAATTTTCCTTCAGTTATTTTTTATTAAAAAAAATTATACTGCAATACTTTAAGTGAACTTTTTTTTTTTTTTTTCTCATTAGGTTAGGTCTCATACCTGAAGAATTTTTTTACCCGTATTAAAATTTTTTTCTAATTATTTGTATTCAGGTTGTTACAAATTCGGTAGCTCGATGTAAAGGTGGTTGCAGTGAAGAAAGCACGGAAACTCGGGGGGAAAGTACGGAATCTCTTAGTCCAGACGAAGAACCTCCTCCGAAACCTCCTCAAACTTTAAATTGGAACATTGCTCGTAGGAAAAACAATTCGGGAACGGTACGAGTCGATTTAGCATCACCCGAAGACATTTCATTGGATACAGATTCTAGCAGAGTCGTTTTCAGTCAGTACGGAACAACCGTGTAATGTATCATTTACTTACATTTAACTAATTATCAAATTGTTTTGTTTGTTTGGTTTTTCTCTCGTTTGTTGAGGATGGAAACGTTTGTTCGAAACCTTTAAATAATTAACTGACTAACAATGCGCGTTTTTCATTATAATTTAATCATTTTAATCAAAAAGGGGAAAGAATAAGTCAAGACGAGTAGAATTTGAAATATTAATTTTAAATTCTAAGGTTGAGAAGCAATAATAATTTATAAAAAAAATTTTTTGTACTGATATTTTCGCCATTGTAGTTTTTAGATTATATTAACTGCTAGAAATAATAATAATAATAATAATAATATAAGAAAGGAAGAATGATACGATGGCTTTAAATTATAATTAAAATAAATGAAAAAAAATCAATCAAATAACAAAACAAAACAATTTAGGCAAAAAAAAAAAAAATATTTGCGTTGCCTTTTAATAATAATAATAATAATAATATTTAACTTGCCATAATTTAAAGTTGCCATTTTAAATGGTTTTCTTTTCTTTTTCGGTTAACAAAAAATAATAATAATAATAATATATTAAAAAAAAAGTTTTCAACCTGTGTAAAAAATACATTTAGGGTCTTCCACATAAAAAAAAAAATAGTTTTTTTTTTTTTTTTTTTATTAATAAGTTGATTACTGACATATTCAACTTGATATTATTATCGTACAAATAATTTATTAATTGTTTCGGTTCGTTTTAAGTTTTTTCAAATCTGAATACAAAAAACCAGCAGCATAATACCGTAATGTATAAAAAAAAAGATTTTGTAGATATAAGGTAAAAAAAAAATAATAATAATAATAATGAGAATGAGAAAAAATGGGAGGGGTGCGAAAATTCGTATCTTATTTTGCTGTCCGTTGTCAATCGTTTGCATATCATGCTGGACCTATTACGATTACATTAAAATGCTATTAAAAAAAAAAAAATAATAATAATAATAATAATAGGTATATATATATACGTATGAAATTAATTTTATGGCTTGTTAAATTAAATTTAACTACTGCTTAATAATAATAATAATAATAATGCAAAAATATACATGTATAAAAATTATTAATAATAAGTAGTGAAATATAAAAAAATAAATAAATAAATAAATAAAATAATAATGGAATTAAATAAAATTTAAATATTTTCATTGCACAAAATTAATAATTGTTTTGCTAAAATTAAAAAAGTTATTTTAAAATTTAAAATGATAATGATAATGATAATAATAATAATAACGAAAAAGAGTTGAGGTTTAATAATTTATTTATTTATATTTTTTTTTCCAAATCAATAATATTTATTAATGAGTTTGAAAATTTTCAAATTAATTTAAAAAGGAAAAAAAAAAATTGTTAAATGATTTTATTTATTTATTTATTTATTACCATTTACACGATTATTATTATTATTATTATTATTACGAGGGGCGGGAGGAGGGGGAGGGGAAATAACGTGAGTGATTAATCGTGTATTTACTTAATTGATTTTTTATTTTTTTTTTTTTTTTTTTTTTTATTTAAATAATTTACACGGATAAAAAAAATAATCATTTCATTATGGTTGCTTATTTTATTTAAATCAATTATATATATATATATATATATATACTACTCATATTGTAAAATCATCATCATTATCATTGTTTAAATTTTTAAATTGTAATTAAAAAAAAAATAAATTATAAGGGGGGGGGGCATAAATAATAAAAAGTTACGAGTTAGTTAAGACAGACGGTTATCAACGGTAAAAATAAAAAAAAAAAAATTATTATTATTATTATTTTGTGTTGTTGTTAATGTAATCGTGATGAAATAATAATAATAATAATAATAATAATTTTAACCGAGTAAATTTAAATTGATTACTTCGAATCGGAATTTAAAACAAACAAGAAATTAATTATAATTAATTTTAAAATAAATTAAAATTAAAATCTCTTTTATTTTTTATTTAATTTACACACAGATATAAAAATTTATAATTTAATTTGCAATAATAATAATAATAGTTTTTTTCTTTCTTTCAAATTTTATTTAATTATATATATATAAATAATATATTTATTTATACAATTTGATGATGATTTTAAATTGCTGCTGCTGCTGCCGTTGTTAAATAATTAATTTAATTAATTTAATCTTGTGCTGTTGTTATTCTATAATCGACTGATTTTAATTTTTTTTTTATATAAATTCAATAATTTAATTATTTCATAGCATAATATTTTTTTTAAATTATGTATTATTTCTTAAACTAACAACTCGAAAAAAAAATTTTATTTACATTTACACATATTATCATTATTATTATTTTTTTTTTTTGGTTGGTTGTGTGAATTAACAAAAACAAATCATCATTTGTTACCCAATACTCATTATTAAAATTGTTTAATCGATGAAATTTAATTGATTTATAATAATAATAATAATAATATTTAAAATGAGAAATAAATAATTATTAATATTATTAAAATTGAAAATGTGAAATTATCAAATTTCGAATATCTTTTTGAAAAAAATACATTTGATTAGTTTATATTAGTTTTCATATAGTCTTGTCTTTTACGTTTATATTATTACATAATAATAAAAAATTTTTTTTGTGCTGATAAATAATGTTTTATTTATTTATTTATTTATTTATTTATGTGAAGTAAATATTAAACAAACATGAAAATTTTTTTTTTTTGCATTTTCTTAAATGCTAAGTGTTTAAGTTGTTTTATTAAATTTTTTTTAGAGTAAATATTTAAATTTAAAATGAATTTTCATGGTTTAGGCATGAAAAAAGTTTTGTTTATTTAATTATTTGTGAAAGTAATGAGCTGTGTGCTCTCTTTATGATTATTCTTTAAATTTAATCACATGAAAATTTTTCTGTATTTTTTTAAAAATTGTTTGTCGCATCAAAATGTTACATTGAACTTGCTTTTTCTTGTACTTAGTTTTTATTTGTCTGCATAATTAAAATTTCAATGTAATATTTATAAGGCGCCGCACTTTTTATTTTAATAATATGTTATAAATCTATATTTATTTTTTGTTTTTATGAATATTAGTTTATTACAAATTGATTTTCCTCACACAAAAAAAGAAAATTAAATACAATTGTAGTCGCGTTGTGTATGTAATCGAAGAAAATTAAGTTTGTTAAAAAATATTACTGATACATAATTTAATAAGACTTTTAAATTGTATGGGGTAAAGTTGTTAATAATTTCCTTAAATATTTAATTGAAATTACTATGTTTGTAAGTTTGAGTTTAATAATTTTATTGTAAGGCATAGAATAAAAAAACGGTAAATGCATTCATACATACAACAATTTTAAAAATTTTATAAATATTTTTGTCGTGGTAGCGGTATTTGACGGCAACAATACGAATTAAAACCAAACAGTAAACTACGGGAGTGTAGCTGTGTGATCGTAACGATTGTTGTGTTTACATTTTTTCATTCAATGTATAATGAATTGTGAGACGAACAATATTTTCAAGCCTCCTCTGCGTTTAACAAGAAGCACAGCATGTCTATTCAAAAAAGAAGAATTGAAAACATGTGTCGAAAGTGGACCTAAAGTGAAAGAGAAACGAAAAGCACTTTTAAAAAATACTGTGGAAAAAGTTGCGGAAGTATTTGAAAAGCGTTTAAAATCTGTTAATGTTAATAGTACAAAACCAAATGGAGTTAAAAAACAATGTATCGATCGAATAGTTGGTGTTTTGACACGAAATCGTTTACGATCTCTTTTGGAAAATACAGATTTTAATAACGATATTAAAAAAAATATTTTGAGAGACTTTATCGATAACGGTTATGGTACCTCTTCAGATACCTCTAGGGAATGTGCTGAAAGCGTGAAAAGCGAATCAAGAGATAGCTTAGAAAGTGGTTTTTCGGATCCTTGCAGACTGAGAGAACCTTTGTGTTTTGAAGAATTCACAAACTCAAATAATAGTAAATTATAGTGATACTATTAAAATAAATTACAATTTAATTTCTCATTCGTATGGTTAATTTATTAATTTTAATTGAAATTTTTTTTTGCAGGTAATGACGTGACAGTATTTTTAAATGGGAAATGTCCTAATTCTAGTAGTCCTGAAAATAATGCAGAAAACCTTAGGAGTCAATATGTTCCAAAAGTTACTATACTAGCGGAGAAAAATGTCATTGCACTCATTCCTAATGAAAATTTACAAAATTATAATGGTGCCTTTAGTTTAAAAATAGAGGATAGAAAATTTTTTACAAAGTAATTCCGATTTACCATTTCAATTTTTTGTTTATTTCTAGAGTAAATCTTATTATGTTGTAAACGTAATTAATATTGTAAATTTAAAATAATTTTAGGGAAATTTTAGAAAGTAGTATGAGGATTCATCATGTTAGTCCAGTTGTTTCTGTTATTCCCCATAATATCTGTCTATTTGAAGCTTATCCAGCTATATTAATAGTGCCTCTTAGAGTGAAACCAAAAAATGAAAATTGGTTATCTTGTTTTTATTCATCGTCAAACTCTGGTGATGCCTTACAATGGCAAAGACTTCCTAAAAGAAATTATTTTTACAGGTAATTCCTTTACTATTTATTTTTACTATCAAAAAGGATTAAAACAGATTACAGAATATTTTTTCTTTGGTTTTATTTTGGTTTGAGTTAAAATATTATTGTAAGTATAAATTTATTAATTTCATTTTGAAAATTCATTAAGTTTTAATTTTTATTTTCTTAATAAGTATTTATAATTATATTTGTACTTACTACAATATTAAATAGAAACTTTTTTTTTTAAATTAACCAAGTGCTTAATGAAATTTTATTTTATAGTTATACTGATTTTTATTTCAGTAATGGATGTTTAATAGTTACCACATGTAATTTTGATTATTTTACTGCTGTGCTTGAAGAACCTTATCCAGAAATATTAAAACGAATTCGTTGTCGGACTGGAGGTAGACTTAGAATAAGAAATGTTCCAGGCATAGAAATAAATTTTCCAAAAGGCTGTTTAGAGCATGATGTCGATGCTTGCCTGAGGGTCTGTTATTTATTTTGAAACCATAAATCATTCATTTTTAATTTTAGTCAATGTGCTACAAGTTTATATATATATTTTTAGGTTATGTTTGACAATGAGCCTTCAATGGATAATTGTTCGGATGTCAATAAAAGTCTTTTAGCCTCTCCCATTATATCTCTGGGACCTCATGGGTTAGAATTTAATAGTAACAGATTACCTGTAAGCTATTTCAATACTTTTGTTAAATCCCTACTGCAATGTAAAGAAGTTTATCATACTTAATATTTTCTTTCAGGTACTCATTTCTTTACCTATTCCAAACTATCATGAAATAATCAGGGTTTGTCCTAATGCTAAATTAATTGCTTACGAAAGTTCTACTGATGATGGTGAGCCAATGGTATGGAAAAAGATAGATGTCGAACTTTCCCCACTTAATTTTATTGGTTACAGGCATGGAATTTCTGGATCATTAATACCAGTCGTAACTTTTCCAGTATATCATTTTTCATTTTTTAAGGTAAAAGGTTTTAAAAAAAGTAGTAATCTAATATGTATAAAATCCAGTAAGTTTTATCTTTTGTTTCCTACTATTTTTTATTAAATTCAGATTATGTGGGAATTGTTGTCTGCAACATTCTACGAAGCAAAAATGGGAATGACTTATTTTTACCCATACATTTCATTTTCAATGATGTGCCAAGCATTTATGGAAGAAAGTCAGGAAAATGACAAATTTGCTCTAGAAGTCATCTGTTATAGATCTGATAGGTAAGTGCAAAAAGAATTAAAATTTAATGGAAGCTGATAAATTATGTTTTTTTTTTTTCCACTATTATTAATAATAAAATAAATTTTTTAGAAAATTACCCGAAGTTACAAACTATCGATATAGAGTAGGGGCCAGTTTAAAACCAAAATTAGTTAGACCTGGAAGAATATCAGTGAAATTAAGATCTCAGATGTTTGAAGCTGATGTTGAAGCTGGAGAAGATAGTGAAATGATTAAGGAGGAATCAGATTTTAGAGGACGAGATTTTGAAAAACAATATGCTTGCAAATTTAAACCTGAATCTAAAATAGAAAAGGGAACTTTTGGTAAAGTTATTATTGAAAGAGTATCGACGAAAAAAGATCTTTTATTCGAATTTAATTTACACAAAGTAAGTAAAAAAAAAATAAATTTTAAAAATTTATACAAATGCATCGATAAAAAATTATTATTTTAATTTTAAGGCTGGAAATGATGGTCACCAAATTCCTGCTCCTGTAAACTGCGACAGATGGGTGAATTATCCGATGAAAGAAGTTGCAACATCTTTAAAAATAACCGAGGGAACTAATTGGAAACAATTAGCAAAAGTTCTTGGGTTCACAAATAGCGAAATAGAAAATATGTTGGGATTTTCTCCCGATCCCTTTTTAGCAATGATGGATATTTATAATAGCAGAGGTGGAACTTTCGAAGAATTCGTTCAGGTACAAAAATTACTGAATTTAATAGGTGGTAATATACAAATCAAAGTCTAGACAGTGTCTTATTTGCATTCAATTTGCATTGATAGGCTACCTACGTCGTGTCACGAGAAATAATGAGTCCTGGTTCGGGTAATGAAAGTACAGGAAGTATACAAAGTCACAGTTCAAATAATTCCGGAGCTTCCGGATCCGTTTCCCAAGATTCTCCAATGAGAAAACTTTGGAAAATGAGACCCTGGGGTCGACTTCCAGATTCTGATTCTGCGGATTCAAGTACAGTAGCTTCAAATACAACTTGTCAGATTTTTTTTTCCTCAAATTTGCATGAGTAACAGTAAAATTTTTCCTATTTTACATTATTTAGATCAAAGAGGGAGCAGCAGCACTAGTAAAGATAAAAAAAGGACAAAACCTGCATCCAAGGCCAACTCACCTATAGCACCTAAGCGTAGGAAATTTTCTGATGCATCAGAAACCGTACCGAGCACGAGTACCGACGATGAAATGGAAGTGCGAAAGACTGTGCCTGACGAAAAATACAGGTATTTCCGGGATTTCCCGCTAAACTTTTTTTTTTTTTTTTTTTTGTAAAATTAAAATAATTTTTTTTTTTAATAGAAATTCTACTAGAAAATTAAGAGACAAAGACCTTTGGAGAATATCTTTGGGCATTGCGAGGAGGGATTGGAGAAATTTAGGGCGCACTTTAGGGATAGAAGAAATAGTTTTAATTAATTTAGAACATTCCCATCAATCTGTGGGTTTTCGAGAATGTGCCTATCAAATGTTATTAGAATGGAAAGGTAGAAAACCGAAAAAATGTACTTTCGGAGAATTGTATTCGGCTCTTTTAAGAGAAAAAATGGTTTCCGTTGCTAAATTCATGGTTAATAAAATTCAGCATAAAGAAGGATTTAACGATGACGAAAGCGATTCGGGTTAATCCGCGACAAAAAAAAAAAAAAAAAAAAAACGTTGATAGCATTCCGAGGTGCAATTCATTTTTTATTTTTTATGTAACATAATTAAATAATTTTTAAAATGTTACTTACTATTTAAGTATTACAAGTATTGCCTGCAATTTTATTATTATTATTATTATTATTATTAAATACGCTTCGATAATTTTATTTATTTTAACTCATTTCACAGTATTTTACAATAAAAGTATATTTTTTAATTTAATTTTATTATAAGACATTGTAAAAAAAAATAATAAATTTAATTCAGTATTTTATTATTATTATTATTATTGCATAACTTGCTTTAAAAAGTATTTTTTTTTTTTAATTACATTTACTTAAACATAAATTTTTAATTGAAAAGTATTAAAATGTTTTTTTTTTTTTTTTATTTTTTAAAGAGAATATTAATCTCTCTGATTTTATAAGTAACTCAGGTGTACTTAAACATTTTTTTTTTAATATTATTTTATATTATATATATATATATATATTTTAAATACAATTAATTAAAAAAAACGTTCAAAATTTATTATAAAATTTCAATAAAACGTAATTTTAAACATTTTGTATAAGAATTGTTATATTATATCTTCGTGTTGTTTTTTTTTTTTTTAATACTTTTTTTATAATTAATGATAATAATAATAATTAAATAATTTAACTTATTATAAAAAAATTTGTATTTATTTTTTTTTTTTTAAACAAAATTTTCAATTTTGATTAAATTATTATTAATAGGAAAAAAAAACTTTGAATAGTTTTAAGTTATTTTTTTTAAATACTATTCAGTTTTCTATTTGTTCTCGCCATTAAATTAAAATTCGTTATACTTGTTGTTTTTTTTTTTTTTTTTTTTATTATTATTTATCAACTTTGTATTTGTAAATTTTTTTTTTTTTTTTTTTTTTTTTAATTGTGAACCAAAATTCTAAATTTTTAATTTTTTTTTTTTTATTTATTTAATTACACAAATTTATTTGGAAAACCCTTTGGAAAAATGGAAGAAGAAAGAAAAAGTTTAAATTATGAATGCAATTATAATATTTATCTCATTAACGATATGAAAAAAAGAAATTTAAAAAATCAAAATGGTATTTTTTTTTTTTTAAAATATTTTTATATCTTAATTATATAAGTTTAAAAAATTATTTTATTTATTTATTTTTTTTTTTCACATTCAGATAGAAATAAAGTCGTTTTATGGATTAGAAAACTCAGAGCATGTGACGCCACCATTGAAGAAATGAATATAAGAAATGAATTTATTTATGGTTTATTGACATGCGTGAAAAGCGGTGAACTCCGACCGCCTTTTACAGAAGCTCCACCGACCGAAGCCATTATAAAACTTAAACATCTTTTGGTATGCCAACATTTTTCTTTTTTTTAGCCAATTTATTTTTTAACAGCCACGGAAAAAAAAATCTCTATTATGTATTATTAAATTAAAAACAGAATATTATTATTATTATTTATAAAAATAATATGTAATGTTTTGTAGCCCAGTTCAACCGATGGAAAAGAATTTAACATTGACTGGATTGAGGATTTGCAAAAAGCGGATAGTAATATTCCAGAAATATATCGGAAATCTCCCGATGGTGGTGAATTTTTATCCCAGCAACCTATTCCAAAAAGTGGAGCTTTTTGTTATATAGCCATAGTTAGCAAATCCATGACCGAATAAATTAAAACAATTTGTTTGACATATTAAGGGCAACAAGACGATTTTATATTAATTGACAAAGACATATATATATATATACTTTTTTTTTAAAGTTTAGTTTTGTTTTGTGAATGATTTAAAATATTTTAGTGTTTGTCATTATTTTTTAATCATGGCTGAATGTGGTGACGTTCTGTCTGAAACCGGTGGTTGGCAAAGAAAACCGATATGTTTATTAGTTTTGGGAATGGCTGGATCTGGTAAAACTTCTTTGGTTCGTCGTTTAGCTACACATCTTCATTCAAAAAAACAACCTCCTTATATTGTCAATTTAGATCCGGCTGTTAGAGAAGTACCCTACCCGGCAAATATCGGTGAGTTATTGGCAATAATGTAAATACTAAATTGTCATTTCTGCTTATTCTCATTTATAAAACATCAATAATAATAATAATAATATTTATTTTGTCATTTTAGACATTAGAGATGCAATTAGTTACAAAGAAGTTATGGAAAAATATAACTTGGGACCAAATGGTGGTATTGTGACTTCATTAAATTTATTCTCCACCAAATTTAATCAAGTCATCGATTTAGTTAAAAAATCAAACTCTGAAATTGTAATTTTCGATACTCCCGGTCAAATTGAAGTGTTTACTTGGTCTGTATCTGGAAACATTATATGCGAATCTCTAGCCTCTTATTTTCCTACCATAGTTTTATATATTGTAGATACAGTCAGAAGTGTATCTCCTACTACTTTTATGTCAAACATGTTGTATGCTTGTTCGATATTGTATAAAACTGGTCTTCCTTTTATCGTAGCATTAAATAAGGTAATAAAAAACACATTTTTTCAAAAATTATAAAATTTATTAAATTTAAAAAATCTAATAATCATTTAGGTAGATGTAGTAGATTGCAATTATGCATTGCAATGGATGAAAGATTTTGAAGAATTTCAAGAAGCTCTTGAAGCTGACACCTCTTATATATCTAATCTGACTAGATCCATGTCTTTAACATTAGATACCTTTTACAAAGATTTAAAATGTGTTGGAGTATCTGCCTTTTCAGGTAACTTTTTTAAATTTATAATATGTTTCCCCGCATAAAAAATCGTTAAATTATAATATATTGTTTCATATAGGAGATGGAATGAATAGACTTCATGAATTAATCAATGAAGCTGCAGATGAGTTTGAAAAAGACTATAAAGTTGAATGGGAGAGAAAAAGACTTGAAAGCCTTAAACTTGCAGAAGAAAACAAAAACAATGATGAAAATTTAATTTCTGAAGGAAAACCAGTTCCTCTAATAACTGAAATTAGTGCGAGTAGGGAAATTACTGATGTTTATTTAAAGCATCCTGGAGAAGAAGAAGAAGACGATTCTGAAGAGGGTGAAGAGGTTGGTGTTGGAGAAAGCGAAGAAGTTGAAGATGAATCATTTGTACAGTTCGTTGCCAAACATAAAAAAAAAGCCGGTGAAAAAATGCAGTTGAATAAATAAATTTACTTAAAATACATTCAAATATTTTTTTACTTTTGTTACCTCGTATATGCTTACAGATATTTTATTTTTTTATTAAATAAAGTATAATTTTTTAATTTTACAAAAAAAAAAAATATTAAAATAAAAATATCAAAAGATTGTAATAACTTTTTTTTTTAATTTAAAAAAAATTTATTGAACAAATTTCAATAAAAACATTAGATTATGAAATGCACTTAAGCATGCTAATATGAAAAATAAAATTATTTCACTACTGTAATAAAAAAACGTTAAAATATTTTTAAAAAGATAAAAAATAAAATAATTTTATAAAAATAAAATATAATATCAATTAATAATAATTAATTTAATATTATTAGATTTAAAAAAAAAATTGCATTTATTTTAAAGTTTTATTAGTAAGATTAAGGAGAAAAATACCTTCATTCACTTTGGATGCGCCAAATAGCGTGCGCAGCAGTATGAATCACAAAATGCCGTCGGAGTCGAAGCCTTTGTTGACAACCCAAACAGAAAAACCAAATCATTATTCGTAAGTGTTTTTACAGTGATGCAAAGTGTAACAAATAAAAAAAGTGTACTCGGTGAAACTTTCTGGTGCAAATCCTAAAAGCCATTTCTCCGTTTTTTTAGGTATTTAAAAGAATTTCGAGTTGACCAATGCCCATTGTTTTTGCAACATAAATGTACTCAGCATCGGCCGTATACTTGTTTTCATTGGCATTTTATGAACCAGAGACGTCGTCGTCCGGTAAGGAAACGAGATGGATCGTTTAACTATAGTGCTGATAATTACTGCACTAAATTTGACGAAACTACAGGACTGTGTCCCGAAGGAGATGAGTAAGTTATTAAAATTATACAAATATTTGAATTCAAGATGGCTGATTTTTATGTTTACGTTTTTTTGAATGGAGGATCCGTTATTGAATTGCGTCACTCTGAATATGTTTTTTAAAAGAAGCGGTTAAAATTTATTTTATAAAATGATATATTTTCACCCAAGACTTTTAACTCATGTAATACTTTCTTTTAAATTATAATTAATACTATAATGTTTAACTGCTTATGGAATGTCATTCACATGCAAACTGTTTCTCTACTTCATTCCCGCCATATTTGTATATAATTTGATATTGCAGGTTGCTTTTCATTTTGACGGGAGCTTACATTATTATATTCTGTTGCAAAATACATTTTTTATTAATTATTTATCTTTAATTTTATACTTTGCCTACGTTTAATATTTCACTAAATAAAAATTTTACTTTTGAAAATTTTCAAGGTCACTCAATTCAATCGCTCTGGGGAAAAAACTAATTAATTTCTCTTTGATTTAAATCTATTCACAATTAATTTTGTATTTTAATACTTAATTTTTTTTTTAAAATATGTTTTTAAATTACTGCACGTAAAGTGTTTTGCTATTAATATTATTTTATTTTTTAGATGCCCATATTTGCATCGCACAGCCGGTGATACTGAGCGCCGTTATCATCTGAGATATTATAAGACTTGTATGTGTGTTCATGATACAGATTCTCGTGGGTTTTGTGTCAAGAATGGACCCCATTGTGCTTTTGCACATGGTAATCACGATCTGAGACCACCAGTGTATGATATAAAAGAAATTCAAGCTTTAGAAAATCCTGATGGAGATGCAAATGCTACACCTAATGGGCCTAATGTATTAGATAAGGAAAGAAATTTAATGAATGAAGACCCAAAATGGCAAGGTGAGTGCTATGAAATTGTGAAATTTCATTTGATGGAATGACTTGATCAATCGTTTTTAAATTTATCGCCTACATTATGTATTACAGATAGTACATATGTTTTGTCAAATTACAAGACTGAACCGTGTAAGCGCCCCCCACGGTTGTGTCGCCAGGGATATGCCTGTCCTCAGTATCACAATAGCAGAGATAAAAGAAGAAGTCCTAAAAAATTTAAATACAGGTTTGCATAATTTCGAAATGAGTAAATTTAAATTATACCTTTTTTTTTTTTTTTTTTTCTCATTATTTTTAAAAAATTACTTAATTTTTTTCGCTCTTTTAGATCTACACCTTGTCCTAATGTTAAACACGGGGATGAATGGGGTGAACCTTCTAATTGTGACTCTGGAGATAATTGTGCATATTGTCACACACGCACAGAACAACAATTTCATCCTGAAATATACAAATCTACAAAATGCAATGATGTGCAACAAGCTGGATATTGTCCAAGAGGAGCTTTTTGTGCTTTTGCACACATAGATCGTAAGTTTTTATTTAAATAATTATAAAATTCTCAAAGTGTGATATTTAAAAATTTTTTTTTATTATCGTACAGAAGAAATGAGCGTCGCTCGCGATGCAGACATGGAACTGGAACTATTTTTCTGAAATATTATCAAATGCATTCCCGCCAGATTCAAAAAAAGAAGACCAAAAAAGTGAATCATCTGTAAGTTGCATCATTTCCGACTTCATTTTTTTTTTTTTTTTTGAATTATTTCATGAAATGATTTTTTAATTTTTAGAACGGTAGCGGAGAAGCTTCAGAATCAGCGTCAATAAGCAGTATAGGTTCAAATACGTCAAACAAAGCACCTGGTGCGCAGTTAACAAATGCAAATAAGATTACTCAAAGTATTTTTAACAACCATAACTTACACAGCAATCACGATTTATTTAGTAATGTAAGTTATTTTTTTATTTATAGCAACTATCGAGATTGCATTTAAAAATGAAATTATTATTATTAAATTTGAGTATTGAATTTTTTTGTAATTAGAGTTTGTTGCAACAGCAACAACAACAAATTTTGGCAATAGATAGTCCGCTGTTGGGGTCTGTAGACAAAGCCCAGCGAAAACAAAGCATGTATTTTAGTAACGTACATACAAATGGAATTTTAGGATCCTTTTATTCAACAGATACTGTGGAATCTGTCGTTGGTAAGAAATAATTGTAACTTACTTGTTCTTAAAACTGTTTTTTGATTTTTAATTACGTAAATAAATTGTTTAAATTTTTTTTTTTTTTTTTAGGTAATGCATTAGAAGATTTAAATTTAGATGAACCTTTGAATTTAGTAGCTTCTATAGATCGTGATTTAGAAAGGGAATCACCTGCCGTTAGCAGTTCAATATCAGCGAGCTTAGCAAATAGTGGTAATATATATATATATATTTAATATTTAATTATTGGGATTTAATTATTGGCATAGACTTATATTTATTCGTTAAATAAATTCTATTTTAGGTCTATTAGGTAGCTCTGCACCAGTCAATATTCCTGGATCAAGTCTCAATGATAGAAATTCAAGTATTAATTTTTCACCCACAGCTTCATCACCTCTTAACCATCTTAACTTTTTAGGTAGTAGATATTCTCAAGATGCAATAGATACAGTAAGTACCTTTTTTTAAAAGATTTGTTTCTTTTTTTCGCACGAATTTCACGTATGTTTTTTTTAATATTAAATCATAATATTATATTTGCACGCCAAATACATGAATGCAACAGTGAACGAATTCGTTATCCCACTTGACGGTACAAGAATTGTCAGTGATCGGGTCCCAGTAGGAAGCACTGGCCAAATGCAATCCCGCACCCGTTTTTTGCTGAAGCGAACAGTTAATAATATATTTAAATGGTCTCTTTAATTTTGCTAATTCGGTTAAAAGTCTTTCCATAATAGCCGTCGTCCACATTTGCACTTTTAATTCGCTGTAATGATTTTCTCCGATAATTTTGTCAATTATTCCCAACGCCAATTCCGATACCTACAAAGAAGTTTTTTTTTTAAAAAAAAACAGAAACAAAAAAATGATAATCATTTATATAATTGTCTACCTCTTCCGGTACAAAATCTGCTTCTTCATCTTTAACATTACCCCCTTCTTGCGTTTGAGACATATAATATCCGTTAATAAAATTATTATTATTAAATACGTTTAAAAAAAAAAATATTATAATTAGAGTTAAATTTTTTTTTTTGTGTGAAAGTTTTTGTTTATAAATAATCTAAATAAAAATTTTTTTACGTTTTAATTATTGTACGAAAATAGAATGTAAGGAATTTTAATTTTGTACAACACAGTGATGTTTTTAAGGGGAACTCAATACATATATATTTATATATTTTCAGAATACAAGTTTTATCGGTCAGACACACTTACAATCAAAAATGGGTAATTTTCAATCGACAGGAATATATGATTTCAGTCAAAATATGTCGCCTCATCATGCCGTTTCACATTCACCTCTAGTCTCAAATTTCATTACTGGTTCTTCACCTGGTACTTTATCTAATAATGAAGTAAGCATTTTTACATTTTTTTTTTTTTTTTTCGTGTATTTCCGGTGTATTGTCGCAAAAAGGTTACGCAACCTTACATATGGATATATTATTTAAACAGATTCAAAGGCTACAAAACGAAATATTAAAGTGCAAGCAACAAGTAGCGCAGTGGGAACAAATGGTGGCTAGAGCTCGAACGGCTTGCGAAGCATGGCAAAGGGATGCAGAAGATAATAGTAGGAAAGCGAATATAGCAGAAAAACAAAGAGATGAAGTACTAAAAATTAAATTTTTATTTATTTATTTATTTAAATCGTGAATCGTTATTTTGATTTGATGTATATATGTATATAATTTTAACCATAGGCATTAAACCAAGCTAAAAATCTTCAAAAAGAGGTGGAATCTTTACAAAAAAGTCCTTTTTTGCATGGACTTAGAAGAGTGTCCGAACTGAGAACATTAACAATGGCTACGTTAAAACAATTACAAGCTCAATTGAGAGCTGATTTAGAAGAGATAGAAAAGGTAAATTTCAATTAACTTAATATTTACAAATATTAACAAAAACTTTATTTTAAAACTCGGGAAATTAATCGTAGAATTCGCCATACAAGGCTCAGTCAGATAATTTTAAAAAAAAAAAAAAAAGCCCCAAAAAAGTATTTTATTTTAAGGGGAGAAAATCATTCGATCGTAAATATTATTATTATTATTCTCTTATCTTTTTCGTTTAAAATTTTTTAAATGAGAATAAAACGACTATTTTTTTAGGTGATTTATTTACAAACGGCAACAAAGTGCATGGTATGCGAGGATAAAAATCGTAGTGTAACTCTAGGCCCTTGCAATCATTACGTTTTGTGCACGCAGTGTGCTCCTAGCCAAAAGGAATGCCCATACTGCCAAACTCCTATTCAAAACATGTAAATTAATATTATTAAAACAAACAAAAATGGATCCTTAAAAGGAAAAGAAAAAAACTTTATATTATCAGTATATAAAATAAATTTAAAAAATTTCTTCATTTTCTCTTTTAAGTCTAAAAATTTAAGTTTAAAAAAAGAATAGAAAGAAAGAAAGAAAATTCACATTTCAACAAAATGGCGTTTAAATATAATAATAATAATAATTTTTTTTTTTTTTTTTTTTTTATTTAAATACGGCAAGATATTAAGTGTATAATTCAATTCTTCTTTTATTTAAATTAAATTTGAATTTATATATTCATATATTTATATATATATATATATATCTAAAAGCAGACATTTTTATTATTACTAGGAAAAGTAAAATAATAATAATAATAATAATAATGATGATATAAAATAGCGCTATTTATTTTTTTTTTTTTTTTTTTTTTTGTGCAAAGATTGATTGAAGGTAGTTACCGAATTTTTTTTTTTTTTTTTTGATAGACATAAGAATGAATGAGAAAAACACAAATGATGCAGAAAAATTTACGGCAAACGATTAAACCGTAATATTATTATTATTATTACACTGTTGTAGTTTTTTTTTTTATATATAATTTAATAATGTACTCAATCGTACAACGAATGATTTGAAAATATCATTTTTTTTAAAAAATTTTTGTTTAAAATAATTTTTATATTACGGTCGTTTTGCTCATAAATGAATCCTACAGGAAAGAAAGAAAGAAAATATTTTTAAAACAGATATTTGAAAGCCATAAGAGAGAGAGAGAGAGAGAAAGAATAATAGTAATAAAATATTATTAATAATAATAATTGTAATAACAATAAAAAGAAAAATTAGGTTTTTATTTTAATTATTATTATTTTAACTGTTGTAAAAACATTCCTCATTTTTAAAATATTTTCTCATTGAAATATTACAATAATAATAATAATAATAATAATAATAATTAATAATTTATATTAATTTCATTGATTCGCAATTTAAAAGTTTATATTACAGTATTTTTTTTTTTCTCTACATCAATAAATAAGTAAATAAAGCGCTATTTAAAAAAAAATTTTTTGTTTTAATAATAATAATAATAAATGAAAGAAAAGTTGGATGTACGTGCTAAAGGTTTATTAACCTTTTTTAAAAGGTTGAAACGTTTTTTTTTAACTTGACAAAAAATTAAATTTTTAAAATTAACACATTAATTAATTTTTATTTTAAAATGTCATTTTGTTTTTTTTTAAATTATTATTATTATGATTATGATTATTATTAATAACGGAAAATATGTAATTGATAATTTTATGTAGGCTTTTAGTTGTCTAAATAAATAAATAAATTTATAGTATTTTAAATAAAAAAAGAAAAAAGAAAGCATTTTGTTTAAATTTTATAATTTTAATTTTGTTTATTTAATTTTATAAATGATAATCAATCAATCAATCAATCAATCAATAGTAGTAAATGTTATTATCAAATGTAAATGAAAAAAAAAAATTTGATAAGTCACAAAAGAGAGAGAGAGAGAGAGAAACTTTTTTATGGGTTTTATTTGTTGATTGATTTATATATAAATAAATAATTAATTTTTAAAATTTGTGAGTAAAAAAAAAAAGCGCCATTTTAATAAAAAAAAAAATTTTATTATTATTATTATTGTCGTCAAGTAAACAAATAAACAAACACAAAACGCCTTTTAAATTATTGTTTAATTTTATATGAAAAAAATTATTATTATTATTATTATTATTATGGAATTCATTCCATTCGGGAAAACTGCTTTTAGATATTTTGATTATTTTATTTATTTATTTAAAAAAAAAAAATTTTTTCTTTTGTTTAAAAATTTTCTTTTCTTTGGTAAATTATAATTTTGTTCAGAATACTTCATCTTTTTATCAATTTGGAAAAGTTTATAATGTACATAAATAAATGTTATGTACATTAATTATTAATCGCGTTTGTATCGGTGGGTGGGCCATAAAATTTTCTTTAAACAATAATATTAATTAATAATTTTTAATTAATGAAAAATACTAAGATGGAAAAATAAATAATAATAATAATAATAATAATAATAAGGAAAGAAGAAGAAGAAGAAAATACTCAGAGATTAATTTTTATTATTATTATTATTATTATTATTACGTTGTATAAAAAATTAAAAATATTCATAATGGATTCAATAATATTTAATTATTATTATTATTATTATTATTATTATTATTGTTTGTACAGGGTTATTCAAAGTTAATAATTTTATTTTTTTTCTTTTAACTTAAATTACACGCATAAAAATTTGATACAAAGAGTCGTCGTCATCTTCTTAAGTTTTTTTTTTTTTTTTTGTTATTTTTAATTATTATCATTATTATTATTATTATTATTATTTTCATGTGGAAATGTGAAATTGTAAAAAAATAAACATCAATGGTGGACAAAAAAACAGAAGAAAAAATACAAAAAAAAAAAAAAAATTTAGGATTAATAAATTTAATATATTAGATTTAGTCACAATAACGAACACATTAAATTTTTTATATTATTATTATTATTATTATTATTATCAATTACCGTTAGTACTTTTATCTAATGTTGTTATTATCATTATCATTATTATTTTTTTTTTCGGTATTGAATTAAATTATCATTTCAAAAATTATTTATTTTATAATAAATAATAAATAAATTGATGTCAAAAAAAAAAAAAAAAAAAAATTATTTTAATAATAATAATAATAAATGGTAGATTGTAGGAGCTTGTTTGATAAATATTCAAATTAAATAAATAAGAACGCCGGTTAAAGTAATAATAATAATAATAAGTTGTAATATATATATATGATAAAATGAATAATCGCCAATGCAAAATAAATTTAATAAAAGTAAAATATTTATTTTTTTAATAATAAAAAAAATTTAATTATTATTATTATTATTATTATAATTAATTAATAAAAAAGTTTTAAGTTAAAAAAAAAGAAAAAGAAAGAAAAAAATATTTTACTTATTAAAGAAAATAAATAAATTATTTATTAAAAAATTAATAATAAAGAGAGAAAGAGAGAATGATGATGACGATAATGATTATAATAATAATAATAATAATAATAATATAAAATTTAATATAAGTAGATGATGATGATGATGATGATGATGATAATGATGACACGTTTATTACATACAATAATAATAATAATATTTTTATTTATTTTA